TCTCTCTCTCTCTCTCTCTCTCTCTCTCTCTCTCTCTCTCCCCCTTCTTTCTGTGTTCTGAGACAGGGTCTTGCTGGGTAGCCTAGGCTGGCCCTGAATTTGTGATCCTCCTGTCTCAGCCTCCAGTGCTGGTATTATGGGCATGCACCACCATATCCAGGTATATTAGGTAGCCTTTATTAGGGACTGATTAATTAAGAATCACAACTTGATTCAAACAGTTATTATTTGCTGCATAAAAGGGGAAATTTTACAGACAATTTACAAACAATGGGAAATGCCCAGGTGGCCATACAGAGCTAGAACAATGTGTTCTATTACCTGCTGTCCATGGTAGAATACAGCCAGGAGGAACATGGCCATCAGCAGTAGAGATGCCTCTTTTGTCCCCAGGAAGTCTCTGTGGGAAGAAGAAAGGTGAATGTTGGCATGGCTATGAATGAGGACACAGGCTCAGGAAAGAGCAGGGTAAGAAGAAAGAAAGAAGTGTTTTCTGAGCAGCTCACATGTGATGGCATGCCTTGGGGTACACACATGGGATAATTCATAAATTAGGCCATTAGCAAGTATAAGAGGTCACTCAGGACCAAGTTGATAAGAGATTCTAGAGTCCAGTGTCTGAATAGTGTGCTCACATTAACAACATCTATTTACAGAATATTTTTTTCAAAATTTCCAAGTGCTTTTATACTCTTTCATCACAAAAACCCTGGTGAAGAAAAAATTCCTCTTCTTCCCCCTCATGTAAGATATTACCCTATTTAAGAGACCAGTATGCTATGCTTGCTGTGTGGCAGTCTTTATTAACAGTGTCTTCATGTTTAGGTTCTGACATTAAATCCATGATTTAGATGCTGTTTTAATTCTTATATTAATTGTTTGAATCCTTATATTAGTTTTTAGTTCAGGACTAGTCTTAGCTCCGTTGAAGCACTTTTACCCTTTAATAAAGGCTTTGTTCCCTTTGTGCCATCTCATGCAGGAGTGAACCTGTCACACTCATAATCCTGGTGGGTCACATGCTATTTTGACACTGAGGCATGCAGCCCTGGGCTTTTTGGGAGACCAAGCTGGAGGGTCGGTGCCAAGGGCAAAGCTGTGTGAACTCTGCCATGATGGAGATTCAGAGTAAGGCCAGGGAGTCCCTTGTTTGGCTCTGAGTTCATCCTTGCCTGCATTTTGGTCTAGCATGAAGCCCGCTAAGAATGTTTTAGCCCAGGAGGCAAACGGTCTACCAGAAGTACTGTTGGATGTTGAAGGTAAACCTGAGTGACATAGAGAAGTGTCCCCCTGACATGCTTTCTCTGACTGCCATGGTTTGGGTCTAAAATGTCCCCCAATGTCTCATGTGTTTGGAAGGTGAATGGTTCATGGGAAAGCTATAGCCAACTGCTATTAGGGGAGGGTCTGGCTGGGGTGGCTCAGTGGTGGTGTGACTTGGGGTATAATCTTGACCGCAGCTTTTCCCCACTTTCTTGGCTTTTTGGCTGCCACAGGCTGAGCATGTTTTCTGCTGCCATGTCCCCTTGTCACCCTGCCTCTGCCTGGGAGACTGCTAGCTACAGTCTGAAACTTTTGAAAAACTGCTCCTTCTCCTTTAAATTGGGGATGTCAGGTAGTTTGTCTCGGTAACAGCAAGACTAAGACACAGGGTAAAACAGAAAACCACTAATGAAAAATGTTCAGGTCCAAAGCATCTTTCTGCATGTTGTTATGATTTGCTAAGGCAACTCATCAAGCATTGTACATCACCAAGTGTTGCAGTCCCCCACATCTCTCTAGCTCAGGTAGTGTTTCTCACCAAGAGCACTCAGTTGCTTGATCCAAAAGCAGAAATAAGCTGGGAGTCAGTCCTTGCCCAGGCCATATCAATCCACAGCCAAATCCTGTCCCATCCATGAGTAAAATACATCTCCTCCACACCTGACTCACTCTCTCTCTCTCTCTCTCTCTCTCCACACACACACACACACACACACACACACACACACACACACACACATGCACGCACCACCCAACAGCCAAGCTGATCTCCAGCAGCTTACTCACACTGGCATCCACAAATCTATTTTCTACAGTGACCAGATGTGTTTTACACTAAAACCCAATCATGCCACTTCCTTTTTAAAGTCTCTACCACAAGCACACACATGCTCAGAACGGTGTCTGATATGGTCTAACGATGCAAGAGGCATGGCAGATACGCTGCAGTGTGTGGAGGGTGGAGCAGAACGAGCCTCAGTGTGGGTGGAAACTGGCAACCTCATACGTTTCTCCTTCTCTATTCTTGCCGGACACCAGCTGGTACAGCACAGGGCCAGGGAATGGCGGAATGAGGCCCATTGCTAACACTAGATTCTTATCTGGTTTTGTGTTAGAAAACAGACCAAATCTACACCGGCCCAGGCCTGGCTCAATGCACCAGGATGGGCTAGGGATGTAGGAATGGCAATATGCATTGTTGGGGAGATACTGCTTATGTGGAGACCAAAAAAGCAAGAGAGCTCTGGGGCTAGAATAAGATTCTAGTCTGTGGACTCCTAGTTCTTTTCCTTTTTTTTCTTTCTGTGGTTAGGACAGGGTCTATGAGGTCTACAGGGTCTCAGCAAGTAGAGTGGACTCATAGTGATTCTCCTGTTTGCAGCCTCCCAAGTGCTGAGAATACAGGTGCGTGCCACCACGCCCAGTCTCAATGCTTGTCTCAGGGCACCGGGGACGGAACCCTGGCCTCTGTGCGCTGCCTAAGCAGGCACGTCAGTCTGCTGAGCCACCACGCTGGCACTATCCTATCTGCTCTTCCCTTGAGATAAGACTCTAATACCAGATGAGGCTCATTATTATATTTCTTATCTATGGTCCCAGAGAAGCACATGATTATTGAACATCTACTACAGTATGCTGTATGGAAAAAGGACATTGTTTCTGGCCTCAAAATAGCTTGGTAAGAGAAAGAATCACAAGTATAGATAATATTATAATATGAGAGGCCCTAGGGAATGGATATATATCCTTGTTGCTATGGGAATACACAGGAGGAAAAAAATAATTCAGTCTGGTTGTTCAGGCAATACTTAAAAGAAGATCAGACACTGGGAAAGAAAAGGAAGGATGGGTTCTGTAGGTATAAGATGCATATTTTTATTAGCTGTTTATAAATCTGTAGTGTGGGGATAAGAAATAGACATCACGTATTATGTTTGAGGGTACAGGAAGACTCAGTAGGGAAGAAGACTCAACTCTCACAGGTGTCCAATAGAAGTGCTGAAATTCCAGGGGTAGACTCTGACTCACACATTATTATCCGTGCATTTTAGGGATGAGGATTCGTTCCCTCATTCCTTTATTCCCCTTGTGTTTGTTTTGTGGTGTTAGGCACATTTGAATATTATTCTTTCTTTCCTTCCTGTCACTTAATTCTTTAGAAGCTAATGTACGTGGACTTCTAGAAAACGGGTTAGAGACAGGAACTTTGCATTAATGATTAATAATTAATGTAGACCCAGGTTCCAGTCTCAGCTCTGTTACTGATTAGCTGTTTGGTCGCGGATGTGTCGCTGGTATCTTTGAGCCTCAGTTTATCCATCTTTGAGCGGTGACAATGGCATTCATCTACATAACCTAAGGCCTGAGCGAACTGGTTGTGACAGTGTGCTTGGCGTGGTGCCCGCCCATGTCACTGGGTCTCTGCTCCGTGAGGCACCCCCATGTGGTCTTGCTAATGGTGCTGGTACTGTCACAACCACTCTTCTGCACTACTTGGTTTGTATGCGGCGTGTTCTGTGTTCAGTGCCTTGTGATTTCATGATCTATATCAAACTCCTCTTCTGCCGGGCATGTTTGATATCCTTTACATTATGATTCAAGAAATTTACTTTACGTCAAGAAATTTATTAAACCCTTCCTTCCTTCCTTCCTTCCTTCCTTCCTTCCTTCTTTTTTTTTTTTTTGCAGTACCGGGAATTGAACTCAGGACCCTGTGCTTGCTAGGCAAGCAATTATTCTACTGAGCTATGTCCCTGGCCTTAAACACATTTATTTCAAGTGCAAGTACAAATGGTTCTTGAATAATTTTCAGAGTAGTGCTTGACCAAAACCAGAAACATAGACCAAACTTAGAAGGAAATATAAAAGAAAATAGTGAAAAGAAATAAAAAATGAGTTGTGACTTGAATTTGGAATTTCTTTTAGTAGCCTCTATGATTATTTGAATAAATTTCAAAGAGAGCCATTTGATGAAATTTATATAATCTTATAATATTTTACTTGACATTGTGAGTAAGGACTTAAAGTTGAGACCATTTTGGGCTGAAATCAATGAGATAACACTATCATCTCCCTGTGTTAGCAGAAAAGGACCTTGCTAATTGAAAACGCATGTAGAATCATGATGCTTTGAGAGCTACAGTGGTCTTTAAAATCATCTTATCTAATATATCATAAAATTAAAATTCAATTTGAATGTCATTAAAGAAGCATTTATGTTAACTTTAGTGAATTTGAAGACTGAAAATATATTAATGAATAAGAAAATAAAATTATCTTCACTCTTAGCACCCAGAGAAAGTAATTATTAAAGTTTTGGAGACAACTAAATGTCATTTTTTCCTCCCATGCAAGAATATAATTACAAATTTGATAAAGTATTGTTCATATTATTTTCTAAGCTCTTTTTGCACTTAGTATAGATTATGAAAATAATTCCGTGTAATATAAATACTCCACAATGTGCATTTGGTAGATCTGTTCTGTACTATGTGCAGCATACATGTTATCATATCTTTCGCAAGCCTTTTATTTTACAGGTAGGAGACTGAGTCCTAGAAAGGTCACTTATTCAAGGCCACACAGCTGCTTTGTGTCACTGCTAGGATCAGAACCGGAATCTAAGCTGCCACATTGAAACCTTCACTATACAGAATTGCAGTGCATTTTTAATTTCCGTTAGTAGTTTCTAGTTGCCTCCATGAGCCGATAATAAACCATCCTATTTATATTTCTTTACCTTTAATGATATGTGTTCAACGAACTGCTAATTTCATGTTGTACCAGTAAAGCCAATTCACATAGACTGTCTGTTTTGTCGTATTGGCAGTTCTACGCTAGCAAAGAAGAAACTGACACTTGGATGGAAAGTGATTTACTCCACTTCACAGAGACTGTGGGTGATGATGATTGGCTGTCATGCAGATCCAGGCAGCTCTTTCAGTAGCTGTGATATCTTTCTGTACGTGTATAAAAGACATGAAAATTAATGACTGCAGCATGACAAGATAAGTGCAGTGATAAAAGATCATTCACGTGGATTAGAAAATAAAGAATGATTACAGAGGGTTTTCTTTTGCTACAAGGAGATGGTAGTTCAGTTGAATGAGTTAGGTTGGAATTTGGGAAACGGATCCA